CACCGCCGAATTCAGGGAGCCACGAGCAGGGGCAACGATGCAGTGGGGGCCCAGGCCAGGAGACGCCCTGCTCGCCTCCAGGGCCCCCACTGCAGGAGCCAGGCGATCGCCAGCACGGATCAAGAGGGGGCGCGGATGATAGCGACGGGTCCCGCTTCCAGGGGAGATCGGGCGATCGCAAACAACATGGATCAAAAGGGGGCGTGGATTATAGCGACGGGTCCCGCTTCCAGGGGAAGTCGCGGATCTCCGCCGCCGAGCGAGGCGGCACCCCGGCCGCATGCATGGGGAGGGCACCTCCCCCGATGCATGGATGTGGCGATCGCGCGCCAGATCCACGGATGGCCAATCCACGTCTGCGCGCCCCCGAAGGACAGGGAGCCACGATCAGAGGCAGCCACGCAGTGGGGGCCCATGCCAGGAAGCGCCCTGCTCGCCTCCTGCAGGGCCCCCACCGCAGGAGGGATGGCCGCGGGGGGAGTGTGCAGCGAGCCCCACGCGAACCCGGATCGCCGCCGAGCTGGGCCCGAGATGGCCCGAACCCTGTCCAGGAGCGTGCGGATACCGTGGGGGCCCGTCGCCGCGGCCGCTGTCGGGGATGCCTTGCCGATGGCAGGTCGACGCGGCCCTTCCTTTGCCAAGCCCCCCCCCCCCCTGCCGCTGCCACTGGCACGAGGCACGACGGGCCCCGAGCCAGGGCTCGAGCTGCGCGGTGATGCGTTGTTGCTCCGTGTTCCGTCCTTGCAGCCAGGGCGGGGCGCAGGCAGCGCGCGGTGGCGCGAACGCAGCACGCAGGTATCGGCCGAGCCCTTCCACGAGCCGCGGAGCCGCCGAGTGCAGCACAGTGCGGTGCCTTCGCGAAGGGGGCCAGGAGGCACCATGGCCCACGCGGCCACCGAGTGCGCTCCTGAGCGGAATCCCGCACGATGACAACGATGGAGCCACGGGCACACTCGGGGGCACTGTGCCGGCATGGCGAAGCGAGCCGCGGGAAGGCAACAGTTTGCCCCCTGAGTCCTTTGCGTGGCCTGGAGCGTGGAAATTCGCAGTGAGGGAGCGCGCGACGCCCAGGTGGCTCTACTTCCAGTTGTTCTTCCTCTTCGCGCTGCTCGTCTACATGGCCGCACGCCCACCCATCCCGAGGCTGCTTTCAGCGGGGCGCCACGGTCTCAGAAGTGCACAAGTTTTCAGCAGTACCGTTGGCAGAAGGTGAGGGATGTGCGGGCGCACGAGCACGACAGGAAGGTTAGATTTCCTGATCTGATCTGTCTTGGGTTTCTTTTGCGCCGAGTTCGTTCGATTCATTGCGGTCCCATGGCCTTAGACGCGTTTCCATGATGCTGAGGCTCAGAGGATTCAGCCAATGTCCTCACGACGCCCTGAGTCAGGGGAAGCCAGTCGATGACACCTTCAGGCTTAACCATCTACTCCTCCGGCCCCTTGCGCTCATCATGCTCTTGTTGACCCTACTCCTCCTCCTCCTCTGCGCCCTCCGCCTCCGCGAAGCTTCACTGAAGCGAGCCAACCACGAGCAACAAGTTCTCCTCTGCTGACTGGGCACTGATCTTCGAACGGCTGTGACGTGCATGGGGGAACGAAGAATGACATAAACAGAAAAACTCGGAGGTCCGCGCGGATTTCTTGGATCTGCGCTGGACCCCCCTGGCGGCGCGCGGAGCGCGCCAGGGGCGGCGCCGGGGGCGCCGCCAGGGGGGTCCAGCGCGGATCCGAGAAATCCGCGCGGACCTCCGAGTTTTTCTGTTTATGTCATTCTTCGTTCCCCTACAGCCGGGGCCCTGCAGAAGGAACCCTTTCGTTGGGGAGGGGCTCGGTGTTCCTTTGATTGTTCTACAGTTTGCCTTCTGTTTTCCAGAGGTCTTCCACGGGAAATCGAAGTTCAACTTATGGGAGAAAGGGGCCCCGTTCCTTATTTTAGGGCTCCTCTTAGGTCAGCGCCCCGACTGTATAGTGCAGCACCCGAGCAGAGCCACACCTGCACGGCGGCGCAGTGTGGCAGCGGGAGAGCGCGCGCGCGCCACGCCCGGAGCGCACCGGAGAGCCGTGGCTGCTTCCGGGGCGAGCCGCTCCGCCCGCCCAGGGTGATGTCGGGCGTGTCCCCCTGCAGGGGGAGTGTCGACGAAAAATAAGAGAAATTCCCCCAAAAAATGCACCAAAAAGGCCAAAGAATTTTCCAGAAATGGTCCCCCGACTATTTTCGGATTACTTTTCGATGGTTTTTGTTTTTTTTTAGTGTCGTCGAAAAAATCCCCCTGTAGGGGGACAGGCCCGACTTGATGTTACGCTGGCGTGGACACTCGGGGAGCGTCCTGGACTATACTTCGGGAACAAAAATGGGCGCACGAGGTCGAAGCATGCACGGTCAGTGGACGTCCGAGCGATGGCAAGGAGAACGTGGGTGTCCACCGTTCGGCCGGTTCGGCTGCTTCGAAGTCGGTTGCGTTCGGTCCGTCTGGTTCGGTCGGTTGTCGTGTCGTTGCTGCGCTGCTGCGCCCATCAGGTTGCCTGCGGCCTGGCGAGCTCGGTCGGCTTCGGTTGCGCTGTCGGTTCGGTAGGTGTTCAGTTGTTTTGTCGTGGGCTCGCTGTCGCAGAGCGGATCAGGCTGTGGCGCACGGGCGCCAGGCATCCGCCCCCATTTCTGAGGCGGCGGCCCTCTGGGGTCAGCATCTGGCGCGTCACTGGCGTGCCATCGGTGATGCTACGTGTCAACCCGCTCTGCTTGCGCGGGGGCAGAGGCGAAGGGGCAGGAGGGGCGCAGAAGGGGGAGGAGCAATGGGGGGAGGAGAGGCGCAGAGAGGGGCGAGAGGGCAATGGGGGGGCGCGAGAGGTGAGAGGGGAGGGGCAGGCGGAGGCGGAATCGCGGCGCTGGCTTGGCCCCCGTCGTCCCCAGAGACACCGCGGAGACTTCTCCACACCCCCGACCTCGCTCCTGCCGCGGCCTCTCCGCCCGGGACCTGGGGCCTCTGGCTCGGTCGAGCGAGCAGAGGCTGGCGCGCCGCCGCTTGAGCACGACGACGCCGCCCACGCCCACGCCGACGGTGCGTGGAAGTTGGGCATCCAAGAACTGGCACCCTGGCGTGGACACGCGCTCCCAGGCGGCACAGGCCGGCGCACATCCGGAGGAGCACCACAGCTCTGGCCCTGGCCCTGGCTCGGCCCCTGGTGCAGGGGAGTCAGTGTGAGTGCTCGGGCCCCGAAGGCCAGATCAGGGACTGGAGTCAGCCCGGTCTGCCGCAGCGTGTGCTCTTCGGGTGACGGCAGTACCGCTCCGCGAAATGGAGCAGGGAGCCTTGGCATCGCTCGGACGTGTGCATTTTTTCTCGGCGAGGACCATCGAGGACCATCCTGGACCACCGAGCCAAAAAATCACACGCACGGCACCGAAAAATACACGGGGAATGGACGTCCGAGCGACGGCAAGTTCGTGGGACGGCAGTGCCGCTCCGCGACATTGAGAGGGGGTGCGCGGGGCGTCCCCTGGTGCACGTCACTGAGCCAGGTCCCTTTGAGCTCAGTCCTGCCACCGCCCGCCCGGCCCCTCTTCTTCGAGCAGTGGTGAGGCGTCCTGGCGTGCATAGAAGCCTGCCGAGCAGTGTTCTAAGAACCTCTTTTGTGGTTGCGCAAAGTGCTCTCAGAACATGTCTGGTTGGCACCGTCTTGTTTCAACTCCTCGGGCGCATGCTCTAAGGACATTGCGTTTGGTCTTACAACTGGTTCTGAGAACATGTTGTGGTGGGCCTAAAGGCATGCCGGGACGGTCGGTCCCCGCCCAATATCTGCTCGCCTCGAGGAAGGAGAAGCCGCCGGCTTCGGCGCGGAGTTGTCTCGGAGCAACAGCGAGCACTCCCGCAGGTCCTCGCGGAGTGGTCTCGCATCGGCGTGGGCCGCCGCGCCTTTCCCCGCCCGCCGTCCGCCGGCCCCAGCTCGCAGCGGGCACAGGCCGGCGCACCCCGGAGGAGCACGCGGAGCCTCGCCTTCTGACTGAAGTGCAGTCGGACCGAGGCATAAGATCAGAGCCCCGAATCATCAGGGGCAACTCGGGTCAGAGCTAACTCGGGCTCGTTTTTCGGGAATCCGAGCCCGAGTTGCCCTGGGCCCGAGCTACCCGGATAATTCGGGCGTCCAGAGCCCCGAATCATCAGGGGTACCTCGGGTCAGGGCTAACTCGGGTTCGTTGTTCGGGAATCCGAACCCGAGTTGCCCTGGGCCCGAGCTACCCCGGATAATTCGGGCGTCCAGAGCCCCGAATCATCAGGGGTACCTCTGGTCAGGGCTAACTCCTGTTCGTTGTTCGGGAATCCGAACCCGAGTTACCCCGGGCCCGAGTTACCCTGGATAATTCGGTCGCCCAAGCAGTCGGACCGAGGCATAAGATCGAGGTCGGTGCGAGGAGGTTAACCTTCAAGCAGTGGCGAAGCGCCCTGGCTCGCCTATAGCCCCTACCGAGCAATGGCCTAAGAACCGTTTGGTGTTTCCACGAACTGATCTTAGAACATGTCTGGCGGAGTCTGCCTTGTTTTATCACAGCGGGTTGATGTTATTCTAAGAGCATTGTTTTTGTTCTTAGAACATTTCTGGATTCTAAGAACATGTCGTGGTAGGACTATAGTGACTATTGGAATGCCAGGACGGTCGGTCCCTGCTCAAAACCTGGTGTTCTTCGTGCTTGCTGGATGTTCTTGTTCGGGAACTTGAGCATCTGCATTACCGGTGGCGGGCTGTGCTCCAGTCCCACGACCTTTTGAGGGTCGGGGGCGACGTAGGGGTGGTGTGGCGTATCCTTTTTTCTCCGCTTGCCCGGGGAAGCAGCGAAACATGTGTACACCAGGATCCCGCATACACCAGGATCCGTTCCTGTGCGAATTTCAGTGCTTCTCCCCTTCCTCTCTCTCTCTCTCTCGCAACTCTCGCCACCTCTCCCTCTGCCTCCTGCCGGGCCTCCCGCCTCGCCACCTCCTCCTCCTCCTCCTCCTCCTCCTCCTCCTCCTCCTCCTCCTCCTCCTCCTCTTCCTCATCCTCCTCCTCTGCGGCTTCCTCGACCTCCTCCGCTGCTGGCGGCTGGCGCCCGGGTCACATGCGGCGAAGCCGGCGGCCTGGTAGAGGTAGGAGGGGGCGGCGATGGCCCCGCAGTGGCCGCCCTCGATCGGGAGCCAGGGCGACGCGCGGGCCCCGGAGCCCGTGGCTGCCAGGGTCTGCCCACGCCGTGGGGCGCGAGCCCTGGCCTCGGCATCGCTCGGACGTGTGCATTTTTCTCGGCGAGAACCATCGTGGACCATCCTGGACCATCGAGCAAAAAACACACGCACGAAATCGAAACATGCACGGGAAGTGGACGTCCGAGCGACGGCAAGTTGCCAATCTTGCCCTGAGTCTTCTGGAGCTGCTTGCACATGCGCTCCCCGGCTGCCTCCCGCCTCTGCCTCTTGGTGTCCGGAGCCTCGTCGTCCCCGGCCCCCCCTCCGGGTCCATGGCCAGCTCCTTGTCGTCCTCCACTGCCGCCCCGATGTGCACCTCCCGCTCTGCCGAGGGCAGGGCGTTCCTGTCGCACACTGTGGAGCCCATGTCCGAGTGGTATCCCCAGGACCACCGCCAGCAGCAACTGCAGCCGAACCAGCATCAGGAGCAGCAGCAGCTGCAGCAGCAGCGGGAGTTGCCCCTGCTGCCGCCTGGGCCTTAGCTTGGGCCTCCACTTGCGCCGAGGCAACCACTTTCGCCAGCAGGTCGTTCCTGATCGGGGCCACGTCCTGTTGACCTCCTCGGTGCAGTGGAGCGTGAGGCCAATGAGGCCCAGGGACTCCAAGCATACCTCGAGCTGCTTGGCAACCTCGGCGGGGTTGTCGGTAGCGTCGGTTTTAGCTGCTGCGTTGCTCCTCCTAGGGTTGGTTGGGTTTCTTGTGGAGGGTTTCTTGTGGACCGGCCTCCAATGCTCGTCCAACACCGCCTACGCCAGCAAACAAACCAACAATTGCCACTGAATGCAGATTGATGTGGATTCCACGCTGCCGCGCTGGCCAAATGCTAGGTGCCGAATGCTCGTGGGCTAGGTGCCGAATGCTCGTGGGCTAGGTGCCGATTGTATGTGTGCGTATCCTAGGTGCCGAATGCTCGTGGGCTAGGTGCCGAATAGCGCGGTTAGACTTTCTTGGTGTTGGACAGCCGCAGGCCTACCACACCGCTGCCCTTCCCTGGTCCATCACCGCCTACGCCAGCAAACAAACCAACAACTGCCACGGAATGCAGATTGATGTGGACTCCACGCCGCCGCGCTGGCCCACGACGCCCCCGGGCGGCACGGCCTGCCCAAGAGACTGGGCAGACCAGGAGCCTCCTTGGGTTCCGCGCGTCCCGCACGCCACCCTTCCCCCTGGCATCGCTCGGACGTGTGCATTTTTCTTTCGGCGAGGGCCATCGAGGAGCATCCTTGATCATTTGGCGAAAAAACCACGCACGAAACCGAAAAAAACACAGGGAATAGACGTCCGAGCGATGGCGAGACCCTTCGCTCGCTTTCCCCTTTCTGGGCCTCCTGAGAGGCCCTCCGCGCCGCCGCTGGATGGGGCCGCCGGCCGTGCTTGGCAGGTCGCTTTCGGCGGCGTCCTCTCTGCCCGCCTCCTCGGAGGCTCGGATGCGGCGGTCTGGGGCTCACAGGTCCCACCCGCCTTGGGAGCCTCGAGACGGGGGTCAACGCATGCGGGGGTCAGCCATGGCGCTTGGTCTTTCAGCCAAGCACGGAGGGGGGAGGGGCCAGGGCTTCTCAGAAGCACCCCTGCTTTTTAGAAGGCGCGGGCAGTATCTATAGAGGTAAGGCCAGCGCCTTCTAAGAAGCAGCCTCCTTCGAAGAAGCCCTCCCCCCTCCCCCTATCCCCTTGTGCGCGACGCCAAGTCTTGCAGGACCCGGCAGGGCCAGGGCTGCATTGGCCCGGGGCTAGCGCGCAGGGTGCTGCAGGATCCTGCAGGGCCTTGCAGGGCTCGGCCACACGCAGAGGGGGGGGGCTCCTCCTCCTCCTCCTCCTCCTCCTCCTCCTCCTCCTCCTCCTCCTCCTCCTCCTCCTCCTCCTCCTCCTCCTCCTCCTCCTCCTCCTCCTCCTCCTCCTCCTCCTCCTCCTCCTCCTCCTCGTCCTCCTCCTCCTCCTCCTCCTCCTCCTCCTCCTCCAGGGGCAGGAAGGGAAGAAGGCTTCTGAAAGCACCCCATGTTAAGAGAAGCAGGCTCCTTCTGAGGAGCTTCCCTCCCCCTACCCCCCTCTGCGCGTGGCCGACTCGGAAACAATTGTTACGATTCGATTCCGATCCGGCTTGGAGCTTCCGCATTCCGAGCCGATGCGGCGATCGCCGATTTGAAAACCGTTTCCAAAAGCCTCGACACAATTCCGATTTCGGCCCGTCTTCGCGATTCGATACTGATTCTTATTGCCTCCCTCTGCGCGCCCCCAAAGGATCCTGCATCGGACGGGGCTAGGGCGAGGATAAATCCGTTCCAGAGCGTTCGGGAACGCCCTCAGAGGCTCTCCAGAACGTTCTGAGGAGGCCGCGGCGCCCGAGACATCCTCCAGGGCGGGATCTCAGAGATTCTCGATTTGTCCTCACGCGCTGTTGACCTCGCCCTGGCTCCGTCTTCGATCCTGCAGGGCCTGGCTGGCCCGGGTCTGCGTGGACCCCCGGGCCAGTGGCGGTCCCACCGCCCAGAGAGGTCTCGCTGCGGGCCCTCGGGCCCGAGCTCTGGGAGGGCATCGCGGAGAGGCGGCCGCTGCTGGTGGGCTTGTGGAAGGCCCGCCGCCCGCTCCTCCTGGCTCCAGGCCTCCAGGATGGGGTCCGAGTAATTACGGTCGGACCGAGTTGTGAAAGATCGAGGTGGGTTCGGGGAGGGTGCCCTGATGTTCTTCGTGCTTGTCGGATGTTTTCGTGCACCCTGCGGAGGGTACCTTTGGACGTTCTGTGTGTTTTGGCCGGCGGAGGGTCTCGTGCTCTTGAGGAATGTGTTTCTGTCCTGGGTCCGACTGTAGATGGGGTCGGAAGATCACGCCGGATCGCCGATGCATCTGTGGTGCAGCTCGATGTGGAGCCCGAGTTTCTCCTCGCCGACGGCGCCGATGCACCGCCGACGTCGACTCCGTATCGGCGATGCACTGGCGATGTATCGCCGATGTATCACCGATGCGGCGCGATCCTCCGGCCCCACCTACTCGGGCCCCATTTGAGAGGCCTCCAGTGGTTGTCCGCAGTCATCCACTGCCCTTCCTTTTGTACTTGAGGCAGACTCAGATCGACTGAGATCGTAGCGACAGTTACGGGGGGGGGGCACCCTGACCGCCACAATCGGCGTTTGCTAAACAGCAGTGTGCGTTTACTAAGCAGCGTTGCCCTGTTCGATCCCTTCCAAGAGTGCGTTTATCGAAGGTTTCGCTCGTCGGGGTGCTTGTAATCCAAGAGGGAGCAAACACAGACACAATTAATCGTCGATTCCCCAGAACATATAGGAGAATCTGGGAAGTGGGGGGGGAGACAAAAACCCAGAAAATATGGGAAACATCTGGAGAATCATGTTATTTGTGTGCAGTCAGTTATGAGGGTGTTTTCTTTGCCCTATGTACACTGTGGTTAACGGGCGGCAACGTGCCAAGGGAGGCCGACTCGGGCGCCTTTGCCAATAGGTAAGACTCAGCTGAGCCCGGCGAAAAAAAGAGGAAGCCATAGAGAGGGAGGTGAAGAAGGACCCCCCGCTGGGGGCAGGAAGTGGGCGCGCTCGCCTGGTCGTGGAGGAGGTGCAGGAGGTGATCGTCGGCTGCCACTCGCTCCCTGCCCTCCTCCTCCTCCTCCTTCACCCCGCCCTGAAAAGATAAGCGGGTGATTTCGATATGGAGGAATTATCCTGGGCTCGAAGCTCAAGCCGGCTGCGGGTGAAGGAATCGTAACAGCCCCCCTCAGATCTGGCACGCATATACAGATCGGGGCAGAGCTGTCCTAAAACAGTGCACGCGTATGGGTGATTTCGATATGGAGGAATTTATCCTGGGCTCGAAGCTCAAGCCGGCTGCGGGTGAAGGAATCGTAACACGCCCTTCTCGCATGCGACGAGGGGGGGCAATGGCCCGGGTGGTGACCATCTGCACGCCTCCAGGGGCGCCGATGGGTCTCTTCGGCGAGGCTCACAGGCGAAGCGCGTTCTCGTGCCCGCCCCTGGGCTCGTTCTCGGGGCTGGACACGGAAATCCCATCCTTGCGCGTCGATTCGTGACTTGTCCGTTTTCGGATCTCTCGAGAGGGTGCCGCGGCCGTCATTTTCCAGGCTTGCGCCCGCCAGGTTTGGGCCCGAGGTCGTTTTCACTGAACTGCGTTTCGCCAAATTCGGTTGCAGCTCCTGGGAGGTCGAATTCTGATTCTGCCCTGGTCCGAAATCCGGCTTTATCCCGCTTAATTCGGCTTATTCCGGCTTAATCCAGCTTGATCTCGCTTAATCCGCGGCCCAATCCTGCGCAGTAGCCCCCCAATGGGGCTTGATTCTGTTTGATCCTTCCGACGAAGACCTCTCAGTAGTTGCCTCCCAAGCGAAAGGAAGTTTTGCCCATCCCCGATATTCGCCCTCGCCGTCGCCCCCGGCATGTCTACTCCGCCCCCCTCATCCTCCCCGTCCTGTCGTTGGCCCCCGACGGCGGCTCTCAGGGGGAGCTGGCTGCGCGGGGGGCGGCCTCCTCTCTGAGAAGGGGGGGGGCTTCCTCCAAGAAGGGGGGGGTGCCTTTCTAAGAATTGGGGGGGCCTTTCTAAGAGGGGGGGGGCGTTCCTAAGAAGGGGGGGTGGCCTTTGTAAGGAGGGGGGGCCTGTCTAAGAAGGGGGCCTCTCTAAGAAGGGATGGGGTCCTGTCTGAGAAGCTGCTTGAGCTTCTGAGAATCCACCTGCCTTCGTAAGTGCCCGCGCCCTCCTAGAAGCACCCCCACCCATGCGCGCCGCCAACCCCCAGGCTGAGCCAATTTGTTCGAGAAGGTGATCGACAACGGAATTAATTTAGCCCTGAATTGATTGTTTGCAGGGTCGACGAAGAAAGCAAGTTTGAGGTGAATCAATTCTGTATTCGATCCACTGCTCGAATTGTTGCAACATCAGGGCAGTTCGGGGGCTTTCAGGGGCCTGTTGTTGGGCCATCTCGGGGGTATCTTAGGACCACTGGGCCCCTGGGGCCACTTTTAGGCCTCTCGGGGGCATCTTGGGCGTCTTGGGGCTCCATTGTGCAATAGACTATTTTGCGAATCATGGGCCTCATTGGGTAAACAATCTTTTGGTCTCCACTATTGCAGGGGTAGTTGAAGACCACTTCAGGTTCTGGTAATCTTGGCGGCATCTTGGGACCTGTTGGGGGCCTCCGTGAGGCTATCTTGTGCAATCGGTGGCAGTCTTGCAGCGACCTTGAATCGTCCTCGCAGCAGCACTAGCAGACAGGCTAGACACCTTGGGACAACTGTGTTCTTTTTGAACCGGTTGGCCTGGAGGGCGTCTTGATGCCCTCTTCGGCCATCTCAGGGGCGTGTTTGGGCCATGTTGAGCCGCCAGTGGCTCTTGGGGCCCCCTTCGGGGCCTCGTGGATCGTCGCTGATGCCTCTTGGGCCATCCTTGACGTCTCGTAGCGCCCCCACATGGGACTGCCAGGGGCCACCCAGAGCGGGCAGGAGGTCGGAGGACGCGCTCTCATGGCGGCATCCTCGTGGCGCGACGGGGAGAGAGGCCGGGCGACACTGGCAGGACAGCGGCAGGCCAGCAGATGTCCACGGCCCGTCGCCGCCTACGGGAGGCCGGCTGCTGTGCAGCCGCATGCCTGTGCGTCCGCGCCGCCATAGGCACGGATGCGTGCAGGGCCACAGGAGGGCTGCTGCTTTCCACGGCGGTGCCACCGCAGCCGCGAGAGGCGTGCTCGTGACGCGCTCCACCCTGCCGCGGCAAGTTCGGGCCGGGGCGCGTGCTATCGCCCACCCCCCACCGAGGAGACGCCCCAGCCATCTTATTGTGATGGCAGTGCTCGGATGGCTTCGCTACAATCGGCTCGGCTCCAAGGGCGTGGCAATCCTACGGAGCAAGCTACGGCTCCAAGGGCGTGGCATACCTACCCGACCGTGCTTCCCGACTCCCAAACATTCCTTGGTGTCACAACTGATAATTCCACATATCCCTCCGTTGCGAAACCAACGACACGGGAGGAGGATGGAAAACGTCAGAAGCAAGGACGGCAGGACAGAAGTAAGGGCATAGTTTTTCCCATCCGCGTGAGCCCGAGGGCCAGAATCCGGCCAAAGTGAAATTCCAGGATTGCACGTAAGTTCGCCCCAAATCCAGCCGCATGCGGCATACTGCGCCACCGCGTCAGCTCAGGGTCGAAATGTATGCAGGACGGTTCTACCGAGCTCCGCCAAATGGTCTGGGTACATGCCTATACGGGGCCCCCGCGGGTCCCCTAAGAGCCTCTGGTCAGGGGGTCTCCCGAAGAGGCTCGGCAGATTTTGAGGCCGCTCGATGATGGTGTGGCGTTTCGGGACCGTCACGTTGCATGGCGGTTGCCTCTAGGGGTTCAGTAGAACCATCCTGTGAGATCCATCACCAGTCCAGGAGCCATCTTGGAGTTTTCGTGACACGGATGGGAGGTCTTCGGCCTGACTTGGCGCGTGTTTGGAGCCACTTGCGAGGCTCCTTGAAGAGTTCTAGGTTTGTTGCGTGGCCTTCCGAAGCCAAATGAAGCTGAAGCATTTGGGAGGAAAATGAATTGACCAGTTGATGTTTCTTCCATGTGCTTGGTCTCTCAGGGAGCTGTTGGAGAGCTCCGTGCAGGCCTCCTGGAAGGTCCCCAGGGCCTCTTAGAGGCTCTCGGGAACTTCTTGGGGGCTCCAGGGCCTTTGGTGCAGCTTTGAAGGATTTGTCTTGGGAAATCTCGCGGCTGACTTGCCGTCCCGGAGCCGCCTCGGGGGCCAGGAGGAGCGCCGCGAGAGAGGGGTAGTAATTGTGGCATGGTGCCCAGCCCCAATCGGCCGAAAAGCCATGTGACCGAAGACGTCGTGTGACCGAACGTCTGAACGACTTTGGAGTTCCTCTTGGTTTCGAACCGAACATGTCGCTCATACTCGAGCGCGGTCGGAAAATTTTGGGCGCCGGTTTCGTGCACACTAGGGCAGCGTTTCGGGTACAGCTTCGGTCACGACACCTCCCTAATGTAGATCAAACTACGCGAGGTATGTGAACGTTGTCTTGGGGCCACCCAGGGTTAACCTCAACAGTTCTCTGGCGATTTCTTCGGCCGTTTTCGTCTCGATTTTGTTTTGCGACGAACGGCGGATTGGAGACAAAACAACAGGAAAACGGACACAACGAGCACGAAAAGCACTGTTCTTCAAGCAGTGGCGAAGCGTCCTAGCTCGCTCATAGGCCCACCAAACAGTATTCGAAGAACCTTTTTGTGGTGTTAACGACATGTTCTCAGAACATCTCTGGGTGAGCCTGTCTTGTTTAACACATCGGCTGTATCTTCTGAGAACACTGTTTTTGCTTTTGTTCTTAGAACACAATGCTCTATTAATCCGTTATAAAGAACAGAAGCGATGTTCTAAGGACATTGTTTCCGTTCTTCGAACATTGCTTTTGTTCTTTAGATTGGGTTCTAGGAACATGTCGTGGTAGGCCTATAGGAATCCTGGGACGGCCGGCCCCTGCTGCAGTTCTGGCCGCTCCCTGCGGTGGCGGCCGCCCCTCGAAGGGGCAGTGCCGCGAGGCCCCAGCCAGGCGGCCGACGGGCGCCATGCGCCGGCGCCGCCCCGCGCCGAGGCTCAAGCAGCGGCGAAGCGCCCTGGCGTGCCTATGGCCCCACCAAACAATGTTCTAAGAGCCTTTTTTGTGGTTTCCACGAAATGTTCTTGGAGCATTTCTGGCTGGGACTGTCTTGTTCTATCACATCGGGTTTGTGTTCTAAGAACATTGGTTTTGTTCTTAGAACATTGTTTGGTGCGGATTGCGAGTGGCTTTGTTAATGTTTGCGAGTGGCTTGGTGGCGATATTTCCGGGGCCTTTGTGAGAGACAGTGTCATCATTGTCGTTTTTTTCGAGCGGCACTGGCATCCTCGGTGTGTGCTCCACCGTACTGGAAGGAGCGACGGTATCATGTGATTCGGCCGCATTGAGTGACGGTGTCATCCGTTTCCCGGGGGCGGGAGGGGCAGATATGACGGGAGGCAAATCGCACTTTTTGCAAACCGCACCCAATGTAGTCGCCGAGACGCGGGCGTTTTTACATGACCACCGCCTGGAGGATCAGTTTTCGGAGCCTCGGCAGGCGCTGGGTATGGACATGTTCGGGCCCCGGGGGGCCGACATATATCCATACCCACCGCCCAGGGACAAGGGGGTGCTGCCACAGATCTGGTGCAATAGATGTGTGGGGTTGCAGTACATTTTGGGGCGTGCAATACAGTCCAGGGCGCAAATGTATTGCTGGATTTCCGCGTGCAAGACATTACGTGCAATACAATGCAGTACAATTCTCCGGCGCAATGCATTTGCAATACAATTGCCCAAAATCTATTGCACCACCCCTTTTCAGCTGGACCCCCTGTGGGGTCACCCAAAGTGTTCGCGCGGCGGCGCCCGGGATGCTGAGCAGAGAGACCCGCCCCGAGCAGGCTTTGCACGAGATCGTTCCCCCCCTGCCCTCATCGGGCGCTCTCCTGGACGGTCGACGGGCCAGGCGGAGCCGAAGCGAAGCGGAAGCCGACGATTCGGCAATTGTTTCGTGAATTTTTCTCCCCCGCAGTGGAGAGGCCTTACGGCCGGTGCCGCCGACCCTGAACGACGACGACGACGACGACGACGACGACGACGACGACGACGACGACGACGACGACGACGGCGGAAGCCGAAGGTTCGGAAGTTATTTTGTTAATCGTTCCGCCCAGATCTTGTTCTTGGTCGCCATCTTACACTGCCAGAGCAGCTGGCAGCGCCCTGGAGCCCCAACCCCCAGCGTGCACGCGGGCCTCCGACTCGGGCGTTGCTTAGTGGGGGCGGCAATGAAGAGGGGGGGGTTCGAGGGTTGCAGGGAAGTAAAGGACGGGGGGTGCTCGAGGGTTGCAGGGAAGAAGTAAAGAAGGGGTGGGGTGCTCGAGGGTTGCAGGCAAGTAGAGAAGGGGGGGGGTCGAGGGTTGCAGGGAAGAGGCCCCAGAGGACCCCCCCTCTGGGGCCCTGAAGAGGCACGGGAGGAGGTGCTCCTCTCTCCCCCCCTTCCCCCCCCCGTTGGTCGTCCCCCCGTTTCTGCGGGCTCCTGGGGCCCCGAAGAGGCACGGAAGGAGCACCTCCCTCCCGCCCTCCCCGCCCCCCCGTTGATCGTCCCCCCTGTGTTGCGGTCGGCGTTGGACAGGCAGCGTTGATCGTCCCCCCCTCCCCCCGTTGATCGTCTCAGGAGGGGGAAAAACACACAGACACAATTAATCGTCGATTCCAAGGAAAATATGGGAGAATATGGGCAGTGGGGGGAAGACAAAAACCAAGAAAATATCTGAAAATATGGGGAGTCCTGATATTTGTGTGTATTGATTTGTGTGTCCTGGAGCCCCTTCAGTCTCCCCCCCTCCCCCCCCATCGTTGATGGCATCCCCCCTTTCAGGCCTGGTGCTGTTGGACATGCAGCGTGCGCTGTGGCGCCGCGCCGCCCCCGCCTGCCGCACACGCCATGCCCCCACCCTGGAGGGGCACACCGCGCGCCGCAGACGCCCCTGGCCAGGGGGGACGGCGTGCCCTGAAGCGCAGTGGGCCCTGGGAACGACAGGGCCGTGTTCGCTTTGCCGTTTTCGTTCTGCCAGTTCCGACGCCGTTTTTGTCACCGGTTCCCCATCGCCGTCGTTTCACCGGCTCCGGCTCCGGTTCCAATCCTGGAGCCAGTTTTTGCCGTTGCCAGTCGCCGTTGTTTTGCCGTCAAGAGACATTTCTTCGGACACGGTGAGAAAACGGCCCTGTCGTTCCCGGGGCCCACGAAGCCCTGAAGGGGCCCTCGCGGGGGGGAGCGCCTTAAATGGATAGCGTGCTGTTTTCACCACCCACCAAGCCCAGGCGATGGCAACACATGGATCAAGGGGGCGTGGATCAGCGACGGTCCCCGTTTCCATGGGAAATCGCGGAGTTCCGCCGCCGGGCGAGGCGGCACCCCGGCCCCCGACCTATGGGTTTGGCGACCGCGCGCCAAGTCCATGTGTCGCTAATCCAGTTTTGCGCGCCCCCGAGAACAGCATGCTTTTCCCACCACCCACCAAGCCACCACAACTCAACCAGAAGGACCCACTTCGCCCTCCATTCCCAGTGTGGGGGGGGGGGGTGGGGGGGCATTGAAAGAACAACACTGGTGAGGCCCGTACTTACCCTCCAACCCGAGATTCGGGTCTTCGGGTTGGGTATGGGGTGGTCCCGTAGGCAGTCCTTTTTCGGAGATCGATGCTGCAGGCTATCTTCCTTCCGGCGCCGACCGCCCGCAAGCGCCCGCGCCACGCGCGCCCCGGCCAGCTGCACTCCGTCGTCCACGACAGCTTCGTCGGGGCCGTGGTGATGTCGGCCTTCGCCCTGCTGTGCGCCCGCCACCGCCCCGCGCGCACCGCACCCCCTCCCCGCCGCCACCTCGATCGCAGGCGACGGTTCTCCCCCCCAACACCCGCGGCCGTTCGAGGAGCAGTGGAGCCGCGCAGACGAGGAGGGGAGCCCCGGGGACGTACCCCGAGGGGGCCGTGCGGACGCACCCCTGTCGAGGATGGACGCCGGCCCCCCCCCCGGTCGCGTAACTATCCCAGGCTCGGGCCCCGGAGAGCTGGCCCACTCGAAACATACAGCCCAAAGCCTGGGATGGGGGTCGGCGTATCCGCTGTTGCTCGAGATGGTGGCCCTTGGTATCGCTCGGACGTGTGCATTTTCGTTTCGCTGCGGGCCATCGGATTTTCTTTCAGTGCATCGAGCAAACAGAACACGCACAAATGCGAACAATCGATAGGGGAACGGGCTAAGCGACAGCAAGCGGCCCTTGCTCAGATCCAGGCCTCCCAGATGGGGTCGGAGCAGATCCGGCGGCGGAACTTGGGGGCAGGTGAGAGGGGGCGGGCCTTCTTGAAGGCTCGGAAGGCTGAGAAGTTGTCTACGCAAGCCTTCCCCGAAGACACAGACGTCTGGAGCACGTGCAGTCCAGTCTTTGCGGGGCCTGGTGGGAGCCTCTTTCGGGCCCCTTCGAAGTCTCTTGGGGGCTTCTTGGGGCCTCTTTGGGGCTTCTTTGGGACCTCTTGGGGGCCTCTTGGGGGCGTCTTGGTCCGGTTGGGGCGCTCTTGCGCCGTTTGGCCCCGTCGGGGCGTCTCTCGCAGCCGCCTCTCGCGGCCGCCTCCGGGTTCTCGTGGGGTCTTCTTGGGCCGTCTTGGGGGCCTTTTGGGCCGTCTTGGGGGCCTCTTGGGGCCGTCTTGGAGCCATCTTGGAGGCTGCTTGGGCAGTCATATGACTCTGAAGGTCGAAGATGGCGAGAACACCAACATTCTTCAAAAACCAAATGAGAATCGAGGATTTTGGCCTCTGGAGGCGCTCTTGGAGATGTCCTCTTGGGATTGGTTCTTCTTAAAACACGCCCTGTTTTTGTTTAAAAGTTTATTTTCCCGTCGCTGTGGATCCTTACTTTGCTTAGCGTTTTTTTATTTTTGGTCGAAGGGTTCCTTGTGTCTCCTGCTGACTTCGCTCCCGGTTTCTCGTTTCTGCAGCCCTTCTCCCTCCCAGAGCCGAAAACGCTTCCACAGATGTTCTAGCGCCGGTCTGGCACCGGCCCGGAACAGGCTCAGAGGCCCGATGGCCCCAGGAGGGCGGCCATCGGGCCCGCCAGCGCTGGGGGTCACCGCTATGTCTGGCAATGCAACCAGCTGATCTGAGAACGCTGCAAGTGCTAGCTGAACGCGCAAAACAACTGAATCGTTGTTGTTAGCGTTTTAGGTGTTCTTGTCGGGACCTAGAAGCGCTTGAACCCATGATTTCCAACACGCCGAGTTGAACACGGTTTTGAAACACGCCCTGGTCTTGAAGCGTCTTGGGGGTTTGTTGGTCGAGCGCAGGTCATAACCATGATTGGCAGCGAACACCCGTATTTGTACGACCTCTAGATTTGTCGGGGTGGACTTCTGGAAGGGCCACGGGTGCGTGTTGTCCCATGGGGGTCCCCGCTCGAACGGGGCCCCCCTCGCAGTCCAACAACCGCACCCATCCCTACAGCGCAGCCTCTCACCGCAAGGCGCGGGCCATCTCCCCACATACGTATGGACGTGCTGGCCGTCCGTCAGGTCGCAGTGTGATGACGCTCGTGCTCAGTGTGCCCACGGGTGGGGGGCACAGCCCGGCCCGACGACCAGGGGGGAGCGCTTGCGCCCAGCTCGTCCGAGAATTTCGGGCCGAACGAGGGGGGATGGGATGGGGAACGGGCGAGTCACGAAATCTACTGCACACACCCGGTTCCGGCCCCGCCGCCAGGCCCACTTCTCGAGACATGTGCTCCCCCCGGCGCCAGGAGGCGCCATGAGAGCCAGCTATGTGATCTGCTGGATGCTCTACCTCAGGGCTCGAGCGGGAGGCGCCATGAAAGCCAGCTATGTGATATGATGCACGCCCTGCCTCAGGGCTCGAGCCAAGCAGTGTCTTGGCAATTCCGTGACCGGTTTCGTTTGGAACTCGTGTTGCAGCAGAGGCGGAGCGCAGACAGAACGAGTGAGAGCAAAAGCGAACCGAACACGGGAACCACCGTTTTCTGCTCGAGCCCTGCTCTGCCCCAGCTTCTCTCTTCTCCTGCCGCCTCGCCCCCCCCTCGAGCGTTCCCGCGAGGTGCCGCTGCGGGTCCGTGGCCGCGCGGGCGGGACCGGGCTTCGCGAGCCCGCGTCGGCCACGGGGGGCCGGGGCCGTGGACGCCAGCAGCCGTCGCGTGCTCGAGACGGGGCCCTCCCCGCGCGCCCATGGTCGCCCCTGGTCCAGCTCCGGGCGCCTCTCCGCGTGGAGGTGTCGCCGGCACTCGCGCCAGCAGCGGCGGCTCTCGGGGGAGGAAGAGGTGATCACCCAGGCCCATGCCGCCGCCGTCCCCTCGTCTTCCCGTCGCCACCGCTGGATTCGCTTCGAAGCTCTGGGCAGAACGCACCCCGGGAGAGGTCCAGGAAGTAGCAGTACCTTTTTGGTTTCCCAAGGCTCGGCGGCGTCGAGCCTGGTTCGTGCGGCAGGGAGCCTCCGGCAGCTCAGTCCAGCAGCGAGCACTCTGAGTTTGCGGCAGCTCAGTTCAGCGAGCCTCCTGCGGCTCGATCAAGCAGGAAGTCCAGCAGGAAGTTCAAGGCAAAGCCGTCTGGATCCAGCAGATGGTCCTCTGCTACGACCGGCAGGGGGGTGGGGGACGGGAGATGACCATTTGGTTGGCGGCCCGAGTGATGCACACTGAGCCGCGCGAGTTTGTCATGCTCCACTGTTTCAGCAGCGATTGGTGTTCTTCGCGGTATGCCTGAAAGGTCGCGTTTTCGTCATGAGCCGTTGTCGAGTGGAAGTGTTCAAGAAGATGTTGGCGGTGTGTATTGAATTTAAGGGAACCCCTTGTGGGCAATTATCTGAGACTTCATGACATGCGCTCTGGGGCTCATGAAGAGCGTCACGGTTGCTACGGGGCGATCCTGATGGACCCCCAGTGGTTCAGGTGCCGTTTGGGTGTTGTCTGTGGCTGTCTTGGCGCGGTTTTGGAGCGATCTGGACTTGTAGGATGCCCCTTGGAGGTTCTCGAGACCATCTCAGGAGGCTGGAGAATTGTCTTGCGGTCATGTTGGGAGTATCAGGGACCTTTAATGTAACCGCAAGGTTTTTTCTCTCGGCAGGGAACAGACTCGCCCGTCCTCCTGCTGCTCCTCCTCCTGCTGCTTCTCCCCCCCCTCGTTCTCCTGCTCCTCCTCGCCTCATTCCAGGTCTGGAAGGTGGCTGAAGAGCGCACTGAGATGGCTTCTGGACGGGCCACGAGCGCTCAAAGACAGCCCAAGACTGCTCCTAGACGGCCACACAGGCATTCAAGACGGTCCAAGAGGCCGCCGAGAAGGCCCTCCAAGGGCAAATTCCTTTCTGGCCTACCAGCGGCCGCGACGGCCCCATGGGCTCCCAACATGAGCCCCAGACGGCCCAAGAGGCCCCCAAGAGGGCCCCCAGACGGCCTGGAGAGAGCTTCAAGCAGCACAAGAGAGCCCCAACACGGCCCAAGAGAGTCCCCAGGAACCCCGAGGGGGCCACCGGAGGATCCCTACATGGTCGGAGAGGGCCCCCAGAGGGCCCCAAGACGGGTTCAGGTCCCCATGGCGGGCGACGAGGGAGGGACCTGGTACGGCCGAACTGGGCTCCCAGAGGGTCCAAAAAAGGCTTACCACGTTTCCCTAAAGACGGTCCAGGAGGCAGCTGGGAAGGCTCCCGTGTGCAGAAAACTAGCTTTTCCCATGGAAAAACGTATTACACTTCTATGAGATTCGCTTCTTATGTTCCATCGGCGGCCACGTCGGCCCCAAGGGCTCCCCAAATCGGCGCCACACGGTCCACGAGGCCCCCCCCATAGGGCACCAAGACAGCCTCAAGAGAGCGTCGAGCAGCACAAGAGAGCTCCAAACCAGCCCGAGAAAGTCCCCAGGGGGCCCGAGGGAGCCACCGGAGAGGAGAGGACTCCATGAGAGCCCCAAGACGGCCCAGCTACCCATGACATGCCAAGAGGGGCCTGGGACAGCCGAAATGGGCTCCCAGACGGGCCACAAAAGGCCCAGATTGACCCCCCACGATTGTCCAAGAGGCCGCTGAGAAGGCCCTCCAAAGGCACAAATCAAGCATTTTCAGCTGGAAACCGTAAAGTTCTTGGATATTTGCTTTTCAGTTCTACCAGCGGTCGCGACGGCTCAAGAAGTTACCAAAATGGGTCCCCGACGGCCCCAGAGGCCCCAAAGAGGGTTCCATGATGGGCTGAAGAGAGCTTCGAGCAGCACAGAAGAGCTACAAAACGGCCCAAGAGAGCTCCAGGGAGCACGAGGGGGCCACCAGAAGATTCCTACATGGTCGGAGAGGGACCCAGGAGGGCCCCAAGACGGGCTGAACTCCACACGACGAGCCAAGAGGGACCCGGAACGGCCGAGATGGGCCCCCAGACGGGACAACAAAGGCCCCAAAGGACTCCAAAGCAAGGCCCGGAAAGGCTCCAGAGACTACCACAAAGCTCCCCAAAAAGGCTCCCGGCACGCGGTCCAGTAGGCACCCATGTACTGGGTGCGTCACGAGAAAGGTGGAGGAGGAGGAGGAGGAGGCGGAGGAGGAGGAGGAGGAGGAGAAGGAAGAGGAGGAGGAGGAGGAGGTTGAGGAGGAGGAGGAGGAGGCTGACAAGGACAAGGGCCAGGGCCAGGGGACAAGGGCCAGGGCAAGGACAAGGACAAGGACAAGGACAAGGACAAGGACAAGGACAAGGACAAGGACAAGGAGGAGGAGGAGGAGGAGGAGGAGGAGGAGGAGGAGGAGGAGGAGAGGAGGAGGAGGAGGAGGAGGAGGAGGAGGAGGAGAGGAGGAGGAGGAGGAGGAGGTGGAGGGGGAGGGGGAGGGGAGGGGGAGGGGGAGGGGGGGGGGGGGGGGGGGGGAGGGGGAGGGGGGGAAGGGGGAGGGGGGAGGGGGAGGGGGAGGGGGGGGAGGGGGGAGGGGGGGGGGGGAGGGGGAGGGGAGGGGGGGGGGGGGGGAGGGAGTGGGAGGAGGAGGAGGAGGAGGGAGGAGGAGGAGGAGGAGGAGGAGGAGGAGGAGGAGGAGGAGGAGGAGGAGAGGCGTTTCGGCCGCTGAAGGTACATCCAGGCATTGTACTGGCCAGCGGCCGAATCCCAGGCGTGCGCACATTACTTGTGCGCCGCGCTTGCCAGTCTTCTCTCTCTCTCTCTCGCCATCACGTTCCTTTCCAGGCCCTGCCGCGCTCGCAGCGAGCCTGCCTGGCACAGGAGGGCCAGATCAAAGAGAGCGCAGCTTCGGCTTCTATTGAGGCTAAACGCAGCAAAGGAGAAGGCAGAGAGAAGGCTCGCATCGCATCATAGTTCTCGGGCATCGCAGGACGGGTATGGAAATGTTCGTGCAATCAAAGGAACCCGTTCCATTACAAGTGGTGTTGTGGCTGTGGGCTCAAGTTGCAAGGGCAGGCAGGCGACTCCAGCATTCAAGGCGCCCCGTGGTGGCGAGAGATCTCTCGAGGCGCTGCAACTTCCAGGGATCGCAGTCGCGGTGGAATCGACGGCGACATCAGGAAGCTGATTGCGAGTACGCCGCCGGCGACCCCAGCCCAGGCCAAGGCACATCCGCATGTTGTGCCACCCTTGGGCGATTCTGCCACGCACAACAATTATCGTCAGGAGGCGCGCAAGAGTTTGCACAATCTGGCTCAGCTCGCCATCTCTGCGCGTCAGCTCGACAAGGGCGACGAGGATGCAATGTACGACATGGCAGTAGTGAAGTTCTCGTTGATGTTGTTGCAGCCAGCTCACAAACTCTTGAAAGAGACCCGTCAGAAACGAGATCAGGCAAAAGGGCGGCGAGGACGAGTAAAGCAGCTACAAGTGCAGGAGACTACTGCGAAGGAGGAGGTTCTGCAGTTGGAGTCTTGCGTAGAGCAGCTCGAGGCAGAGCAGCAGCAGGAGGAGGAGGACTGGGTCGACGAAACCGAGGCAGACCCCTACATGCAATATCATCCGTCTGGTAGTGCAGGTTTGCCGTCCTCCTCTTCGGTTGGCTCCACTGCTGCAATGCAGCAGCAGATGATGCAGCAGTTTCAGGCCCAACAGCAGATGATGATGATGCCGCAGCAGCAGGCTTTCGAGTCGTTGATGGCCCAGATGTGTCAAAGAATGCAGGGATTGGTTGTGGGGCCAGCTGGGGCGGGGATTCAGCCCCCGCAGCAGGCGGCAGGAGTGGGGTTTCATATGCCTGCTGGGATGCCAGGCCATCCGCCAGAGCCTGTTGGCCCCTTCCATCAGCCCCTGCCTGGTTCCACGGCGACACCAGAGCCACCAGTGCCTGCCCCACCTTTCTCAGTGACGGGCAAGGGGGTCGGCGAGGACAAAGGCAAGGCCGCTCGTGGATCCGACCCGTGCCCGACCTCCCCCACGGTGCCGATGGGCGCCACGCAGCAGCGCCGGCTCTTCCCGAACACGCAGCAGACGAGGGACCAGCTGGACTTCTTGCTCAGCACGCAGGGCTACGAGTACATGCAGAAGCTCCGCGCGGCCGACGCAGCTCAGGAGGCAACGGCGATGGCGGCCAATGGCATCCCAGGCCAAGCGGCGGCGGGCGGGGCATTGGAGGCTACGACTGGCGTAGGGGCTGGGACCTCGGCGGCTGGAGGGGCGGCGGCTGGGGCATCGGGGGCTATGATGGGCTCGGCCACGGCGGTGGACTCTCCGCTGTCGCCGACCCCCCCCCCCTCCCCCCCCGCGAACATGGCGATTGCGCTGGGGGCGGCGGAGCGCATGCGACCTCGTGCGGAGGATGCTGCGACGCCCAACAACAGGGCCCACAAGTACCAGCGCGCGGAGAGCGAGTTGGAGGGGAGTCTCTAGGTGCGAAGGCTCTTGTCGCGGGCTGGGGGGAGGCCCGACTAGTTAAGAATAAGCTCCAGGGATGGCTTCCAGTGTTTCATGCTTTTGATTTTCCAGGTGGTGTGGCTCAGGACGGTGTCCGTTCAAAAGATCAGGCCATGGGTGTCGTACATAGGTTCAAGCATCCTACCCCGCGTGTGGGAAATACAAGGGGCTGGAACGCCGCGACACCCACCTTCCCTAGTAGCGTCAAGAGCAGCTGTTGCGGGTGTGTGTGTAACTAGGGCCCCCCTCAGCCAATGTTCCCCCTATGCGTGGCCCTTTTCGCAGGTCGTCGCACCTCTCGCCGCCGCGCTGACAGGGTCAGTCAGCTCAGCGTCGGTGTTACCTCTCCTTCCTCGTCCTTGAGCCCCGCTCCCTCTCCTTCCTCGCATTATTGGTGGGGAAGGGGGGCCTCGGCTGAGACCGCTGAGGCGCCCCCACCCCTCTATTGCCTTAATGCCCCACCGGCGCCGGGCAAGAATGCGAGGCAGCCGACGGCCAGTAAGATGAGCAAGAAAGTCCGTTTTAGCTTAAAACCTGAGGTTAGGGAATATGACCCAGCAGAGCTTTGGTATCTGAACATGAATTCAAGTATGTTTCAACTGTTCAGCAACAGCAAGCAGTGCAAGGTAGTGCACATAGCTTAATGTCAAGTCAAGTAGGGCTAGCAGCATGCTTTTCGGGCCACAGCCTCCCGTCCCAGGCCTTTCTGATCCCAGGTCTAGCGAGTCTCGAGGGGGTGACACCTCTAGGCTGGATGATGGGG